TTCCCGCACCTCTCATTTACTTGTATATTGCACTTCTTGTTATTTTGCTCACTTGTCTTAACGTAACTTTTCATTGTGTCATTTAATTATTCTTATTATTTTGATTGATTTTATTATACGAATTTGTTTGTCCATTTTATTCATGTTTTGATTTATTTAACGTAATTAAAATTCCATTGTTAAAATTTACTTGTGTTTTGTGTGTCTTCTCCTTACCTTACCACAGACGAAGTTCCAGATTTTCTATTTTTTTTATACTATGTGACGAGGCCATACCCCTAGCTTTGAACAGCCGAACACCAACGCGTTACCGTCACATATTATATGGGGGCCTGTCCTAGGAGCTTCACTCAGGTACTGGTGCCAATTGGTAATTTATGGTAAGCGTATTTAACTTTGTTAACGTAGCTTTTTACTATTTTTCATATTCAATTTCATTTTTTATATGGTGCGGTGTATTGTGCATTACGAGAGTAACATATAGTGAAGGTGAGACAACTTTGGATTACGTGGTGACTGTAGGCCGCAGTCATACTCTTAATTGGTCATCTCTCCCTCCGTGTTATTACTCGTGTTTACCATCTTTGTCCCTTGGATATTTCTCATTTTTGACAGATCATCATATTGGTACCCTGGTACTGTGGTCTGCCCCGGGTCAAGAGAACCCAATCTTCTGCAATCTGACTGTAGGAGGACAAAGAGGGCCATAGTTCCTCTAGCTCGAACTTTAGTTGCTGAATTGGGACCTCAGCAGCAGTTCTCGTCACCAGTTAACACCTCGCACCCCTACACGTCAGTCAGAGATGATGATACATACAACGGTAGGGAATTAGCTTACTTTTTCAGAGCACAAAAGTTCGCTAATTCTGTAAGTATCATATTAAATTCAGTAGGAAAAACTTGCTTTATGTCCTATAGAGACTTGGCAAGGTATGCCTACATCCTTGGACTACCAATTTTACTTTTGAGGCATTTAACTGTTTCATTTGTTTTCGAAACTCTGTTTCATTTGTTAGTAGGATTTTCTTGCCCTTATCCTCTTACATGAGTACCGGGTACAAGATTTCCTGCGCCCTTGATTTAATTTAATCATTTAACATCTTTTACTTAACTTTAATTGTTAAAGATCCCACAGGATAGGTACCAGTTGCCACGTTGTCCTGTTTCTGACATTCACTATTGAATGTTCGTGTACCTTTATTTGCTAATTTCACCATGTTTCGTCTCCAAGCTTTCCGTGCAAATCCAGCAGGTGAAATAGGGACTTTAAGTCGTGCCAAGAGGACTGAATTACAAACTCTTGCACATGAGTATCAACTAGAAGTTCCCTACCAAGCCAACAAAAATGACTTACACAACCTGTTGCTGGATTACTATTTAGAGCAAGGTAAGATAGACTCTGAAACTCATGAAACTTACTGTATTGCAGATAAAACTGACTTGGCAACGATGAAACTCAAATTGGAGCTGGCCAAGATTGAACGTGAGCAGCAAAGGGAAGCCCGCGAACAGCAAAGGGAAGCAGCTGCCATACGAAGAGAAGAACAAGAACGTGAGGCGGCCTTAAGAAGGGAAGAAATCGCCCTCAAGGAACGTGAGTTTGCAATGCTCCGTGAGCGGGAAAGAGTACAGCTTGAAACCAAACAACGCGAGTTGGAGATGCAACGCGAACATGACAAGCAACAAGCAACTCTGGCTCTAGAGTGTCGTCAACGCGAATACACGTTGGAAACTTCACACTTCACTCAACGCCAGCAAGCTACTGCCAATCTTCCCGTCAGTTTTAATATATCACATGCAAGTAAGTTAATGCCATCCTTTGTAGAAGCAGAAGTTGATGTGTTCTTTACCACCTTTGAAACCCTTGCTAATCAACTCAGTTGGCCTGTCGACCAATGGGCCACACTTCTCAGAGTCCATCTTACAGGTAGAGCTGCAGTCACTCTCAGTACTTTGGCGTCTGAGAATGACTACCACACTCTGAAACAAGCAGTGTTGGACGCCTACCTCCTCTCTACTGAAAGTTATAGAAGGAAATTCCGTGACCACCTGAAGGCAAGTACCACTACCTTCCTCGAGTTTGCTAACACGAAACGGAGGTATTTCATGAAATGGCTGGAAGCAGCACATGTCTCTACTTTTACAGAACTCGTCAACCTGATGCTTGTTGAAGAATTCTTGAGACGTGTGCCGCCTCCTGTCCGCCTCTACTTAGCAGATAAAGAAGAAACCGACTACCTGAAGTGTGCTAAGTCGGCTGACACTTACAGCCTCATCCACCGGCTGACACCCGAACCATCCTCCAGTAAGAAGTCGTGGTACAGTTACGAGAAAGTGAGCACCGATCAGGCTGGCTCGCAATTGTACTGCAAGTATTGTAGACTCTATGGACATACCATAGACAAGTGTGGTAAGTCTCAATACAAGGGAACCACTGACCAACAAAAACCCAAACCAACTCCTCCTAAGTCCGGTAAGCCTGTGATGAATGTTGGTGTTAATGTTAATGATCTTTCTCTCTTCAGTAACCACCTGTATACTGGAACTGTCTCTGCCAACGGTTCAAATCCGGAGGGACGTTTCAAATTGAAGATCTTGAGGGACACAGCGGCTCTACAATCGATCATCTTGAAGTCGGCTGTGCCCAACATCACCTACACCGGAGAAACTGTCTTCATCACTGACCTCACTGCTACCACTCCATACCCTCTCGCCAGAGTCCACCTGGATTGTCCCTACGTGAACGGGGAAGTCCAAGTCGCCGTCAGGGAAAAGCCTTTTCCCATGCCTGGAGTGCAACTTCTCCTAGGCAACGACTTGGCAGAAGACCTGCAACCGACCAACCTGATCGTCATGGACAAACCCCAGGTGTGTAACTCTGTGCCAATAAACCCTATTCTAGAGTATGTTCCAGCAGAGGTTCAAGAGAGTGATGAAGTTTCTCCTCCGGTTCTCGTGACCACCCGTGCACAAGCCGCACGTCCACAGCCAGCTGACTCTACTGCTACCGCTGTCCCTCAAGACCCTCAGAAACTCCCCCCGCATCTGACCAAGTTGGAGTTCCGTAAGTTGCAGAGGGAAGATCTTACTTTAACACCATTGTTTTTCCAGGCTGAGACTCAACCCGACAGTATTCCTGGGTTCTTCCTAGAGAACGACTTGCTCTACCGCAGATATAGACCCAGTAAACTGAAGGAGGAGGACGATTGGGTCAACATCGAACAACTTGTGATTCCTACCAGCCTGCGGCCCACTATTCTACACCTGGCCCACGGAGCACTCTCCCACTACGGCTTCAACAAGACTTACCATGGAATTCGTCAAGACTACTACTGGCCAGGTATGGTAAATAACGTCAAACAGTACGTAAAACAGTGTCATACATGTCAGATGGCAGGCAAACCGAACATCTCCATTCCCAGAGCGCCACTGATTCCCATACAGGTGCCTGCGGAACCTTTCCACAGACTCATAATAGACTGTGTTGGTCCTTTACCTCGGACCAGTTCGGGTAACGCCTACATCCTAACCATCCTGTGTCCTACCACCAGATTTCCCATAGCAGTTCCAGTGAAGAACATCACGGCTGCTACGGTTATAAAACATCTATTGAAGATCTTCACTCAATACGGATTTCCCAGGGAGATTCAGAGCGACTGTGGTACCAACTTCACCAGTGATCTCTTCAAAAGGACACTGGAGGAGTTCAACATCAAACAGGTATTGTCCAGCCCCTATCATCCTGCTTCACAGGGTTCTCTTGAACGTAGTCATCAGACTATCAAAGCACTCTTGAAAAAGTTTTGTAGTGAAACCTCTAAGGATTGGGATAAGCAGATTGACCTTATAATGTGTATTTTCAGAAGTCTCCCCAATGAGTCCCTAGGAGTATCTCCTTATGAGATGCTCTACGGCCGTAAGTGCCGTACTCCCCTTAAGGCTTTCAAAGACTCTCTCCGAGATGCCACCTTCAGTGAGCATCAGAATGTGCCCCAGTTTCTTCAAAACCTTCAACACATTCTAGAGAGAGTCCACCGTTTTGCCCATGATAATCTATTGAAAGCCCAGGAGAGAATGAAGACTCATTACGACCAGACCAGCAAAGTAAGAAAATTCAAGCCGGGAGACTTCGTCCTTGCATACTTCCCTATCCCAGGTTCACCTTTACAAAACAGGTTTTCAGGACCCTACCGCGTCAAAGAGTGCAGGAATAACAACAACTACGTAATAGAGACTCCAGATAGGCGGCGGAAGACCCAGCTGTGCCACGTCAACCTCCTGAAGCAATATAATGGTACTCCTCCCACTGTCCTAATTAACTATTCCACCTTCACAGAACCCTACATCCACAGTGAGACCTTCTCAGCTTCTCCTCCCGAAAGCACTGACAAGGAGTCAGCGCTTTCTAATTCCGAAATCCTTAATGATCTTCCCAAATACTTTCAGGATAATAATCGTGCTCCTTTGCCATATTCTAATTCCACTCTCACCTCGTCAGATAAGCCCTTCATCCTCCATGTCGACGCCAGTGGTACCGACGTTGGTGGTGTCGTGATGCAGCAACGAGGCGAGGAGAATACACCTGTCAGCGACTACTGCTACAAGGAACTACGGAACAATTGGCAAGGAGCTACTCTTCCTCATCCTGAAGCTCCAGCACTTCACTCCACACCTGAAAAGTGCTCGGTCCACCATCAACACGGACCACACCACCCTACACCTCCTGCAGCACGCCCACTTCTCATCTCAACGTCTTCTACTATGGGCTTGCTAACTGCAGAAATTCAACCTGGAGACACGCTATACCAAGATTCCGATATATATATATATATATATATATATATATATATATATATATATATATATATATATATATATATATATATATATATATATATATATATATATATATATATATATATATATATTTTAGACCTACTGTAGCTCACTAAAAGTAATACTGAAATAAAGAAAGGGATGAGAAGGACGTGCGGGCGTACCTCTTATAAAGCATCTCGGCCTGAGTGTTGTTGTGTAGAGTGAGCATGAGTGTGGCGGTGTTGACCAGGGCCACGGTGTGCTCCGGGTCCAGCCTCAGGGCCGCCTCGTAGTGCCGCAGTGTCGCTTCCCGACGACCTGAAACACGGACATGATGTGGCTCTCAGTGCCCCCCTGTGCCACTCATCACACAAGTGTGGTATAATGTGTGTATTATGGGTCCTTCGACCTGTTACTCACTTGGATCTGTTACTCACCTGGGTCTGTTACTCACTTGAGTCTGCTACTCACTTGGGTCTGTTAATCGCTTGGGTTTGTTACTCGCTAGGGTCTGTAACTCGCTTGGGTCTGTTACTCGCCTGGGTCTGTTACTCGCTTGGGTCTGTTACTCGCTTGGGTCTGTTACTCGCCTGGGTCTGTTACTCACATGGGTCTGTTACTCACTTGGGTCTGTTACTCGCCTGGGTCTGTTACTCACCTGGGTCTGTTACTCACTTGAGTCTGGGTCTGTTACTCGCCTGGGTCTGTTACTCACTTGGGTCTGTTACTCGGGTCTGTTACTCACTTGGGTCTGTTACTCACCTGGGTCTGTTACTCACTTGGGTCTGTTACTCGCCTGGGTCTGTTACTCACCTGGGTCTGTTACTCACCTGGGTCTGTTACTCACTTGGGTCTGTTACTCGCCTGGGTCTGTTACTCACGTGGGTCTGTTACTCACCTGGGTCTGTTATATTCACCTGGAAAGTTATTTGTGAATTAGGGTGTGGTTGGCGCAGGCGCACTTTGAACTATGCTCCTAGGCGATGTTCTCTTTTTGTTCTAGACACTTAAGAGAGAGAGATTGTACGCGCCTGAGAGGATCGCAGACGGCGAACGTCTTAGTAGGTCTAAGATGTTGATCATGAAGTCCTCGCCCGGCTGATGGGTCGATCCTGTCCCTTAGAAATTCAATCCCGTAATCTGACAATTTGGCTGAGTCTCTCTCTCTCTCTCTCTCTCTCTCTCTCTCTCTCTCTCTCTCTCTCTCTCTCTCTCTCTCTCTCTCTCTCTCTCTCTCTCTCTCTCTCTCTCTCTCTCTCTCTCTCTCTCTCTCTCTCTCTCTCTCTCTCTCTCTCTCTCTCTCTCTCTCTCTCTCTCTCTCTCTCTCTCTCTCTCTCTCTCTCTCTCTCTCTCTCTCTCTCTCTCTCTCTCTCTCTCTCTCTCTCTCTCTCTCTCTCTCTCTCTCTCTCTCTCTCTCTCTCTCTCTCTCTCTCTCTCTCTCTCTCTCTCTCTCTCTCTCTCTCTCCCATGATAATCTTGCAGCAATTTTGGGAGAATGAGATTTACCCGAGACTCGTTTTTATTTAATTTCTGAAGCAAAATGAAGATTCCTATTTTGCGAGGCGTGTACGAGTCTTAAGTGGCTCGGATATTGCCCCAGCGTCTTTAAGAGTCCCTCCGTGAATGGCACGATGGTAGCATATATAATGGATACCTTGCTGTGTAAATATTGAAGAAAAAACTAACATTGTAAGGTGGAACTGGGTAAATATTTCGACCCCCTTTTACCCTTATCTTATTCTACTAATTTGTTAAAATTTATCATGCTGAAAGATGTGCATAACTTGATAGTTTCATGCATAAATAAGTAAGAAAATAATAGAGCAACTCCGTTATTTTCAGTTATTATGTTATGGTACATTATTATGTGTTAATATGGTTCACTATTTTCGGTTAATATGGTTGATGTTAAAAAAGTGATTATATACGCGAGCCTCGTATTGGAGGAGCTTGTAATAACCAGTTTATATCGGCGGGAGATAGTCATTATGTATCAGTCATAATAACGTAGTAGTTCTTAAGTTATCTTAAGAGAGAATGTGACGTCTGGAGGAGGTTGACGTCACACGCTCCTTCGTGTGACCTACAGCACACAACTGGGGAGTGAAGCGAACATATAATACATATAATATTATTTAGCTAAAAAGGACGTCGTATATGAATACGACGTTCTATTTAGCTAAATAATATTATATGTATTTTTTTCATGGTGAACTAGTCTATTTCTTGAAGCCAGATTAGATATTTAATGGTTTAGCTAAATATTCAGCGATAAAGAAGTGTTTAGTTCTTCCCCAAGCTTCTTGAGGTAAATCGGTGTACTATTTGCCTTTTTGGGAACATTTATGCGCTGGTTTTTGGCCTTAAATATTTGCTAATCATGACCCCCAGATTTTTTTCGCATTTGCAATGTTTCAATTTCAACACTATCCAGCAGATATCTGGTAACTCTATCATCATTGCAGATGATGAGTCACAATAACGTTGCTGAAGATTAGATATCTTGATAATTCTCCAGGACGGACCTTATACGGTCTTATCCTTTTCATATTTTTGGGTTGAGTGTGTGTGTCACTACCTAGTCTCGCAAACCTTGCATTTATCAATTTTTTTTTAACTTTCTAAAGTTATTTCTTTCCTAATTTTTGTATTGTCTGCAAATATTGCTGCTCAATCCTGAATCTAAATCGTTTATATGTACAGTAAACAATAGGGGGTCCTAGGATAAGGCCTTGTGGCACTCCAATTATAACTATTTCCCATTGTGACTGAACTCCATTTATACAACTCTTTTGTTTTGCTTTCAAATAATCGCGCCCTTATCCAACTTAGCATAGTTCTCCAGTACCACGAGTTTCTTCCAGTCACTCGTGAGGCCCAGTATCAAAACCTTCGCTGAAGTCAAGGTACACAACGTGATAATTGGTACCACTGTCAACTGCCTCAAATATGCTGGAATAGAGTAAATGGAAATTTCATGGAACATGAATTTCCCTTCACAGCCCTTTGTAAAGCTATGTTGAGAATCCCTTATCAATCTGTGTTTCTCAAGTTGTACGTGAATATCTTTTCCGATTAAGGATTCAAGCAGTTTTCCCACAATATACGTTTAGCTAATTGGTCGATAATTCGATGGAAGTGATACTTTCCCCCTTCCTGAAGACTGGTCCAACATTGACAACCCTCCGCGATTCCGTGGAATTTAATGGCATTAAATATGAATGTCAAGGTCTCACTCAGCTCTTGTATGATCGTGGGACCCAGGCAAATTTTTCGTCTGAGCCTGGGGATTGGTTTGGCTTTCATTTGTCTATGTGAAATTACTTCCTCCTTATTAATGACTATACAGTTCAAGTGACCTTCCTCACCTCCTACATAGATTGGCTCAGGTGTTATCAAGTTCCTCTCTAGCGTACAGAAACATAGTACTTAGGATGCTACTTATTTCAGTGTCATTATCAGTTATATGATCTAACTCATTTTCCCCAAGGACCAGCATTCTCTTTAGTCTTTGGCGTATCTGAAAGAAACCTTTGACATAATTTAATTCCTTTTCCACTCAAAAATAGAAGAATTTTCCAGACGGACTTGTTTTCATTTTTAATAAAGACTAGATATTAGAAAACAAGTATCCGTCTAAAGTCTTCAAAGTTCTAAATCACAAAATATTTACAAGGGTTAGACAACGGGCTCCCAGGTTCCAGACAGCTTGAGCAGCTCGTTCATGATTCAGGATTACTTGTTCCCTGTGGACACCGAGCATCTAACTTTCAGATTCTAAACCAAATACCTCTTCCAGGAGAGGAAAATGGTTAATCTCATTCCAGTTTCCAGAGGAGCGTATCCGTCATGACGTGAGCCGCTCGTTCCAGCTTCGTTGGTGTCTTTCACTGCTCAAATTTGATCGGAATATTTGGTCGTCTGGTCGCTGCACGGGGTGAATGTCGTCTGGTCGCTGCTAGGGGTGAATGTTGTCTGGTCGCTACACGGGGTGAATGTCGTCTGGTCGTCTGCTACAATGTCGTCTGGTCGCTACACGGGGTGAATGTCGTCTGGTCGCTACACGGGGTGAATGTCGTCTGGTCGCTACACGGGTGAGTGTCGTCTGGTCGCTACACGGGGTGAATGTCGTCTGGTCGCTACACGGGGTGAATGTCGTCTGGTCGCTACACGGTGTGAATGTCGTCTGGTCGCTACACGGGGTGAATGTCGTCTGGTCGCTACACGGGGTGAATGTCGTCTGGTCGCTACACGGGGTGAATGTCGTCTGGTCGCTACACGGGGTGAATGTCGTCTGGTCGCTACACGGGGTGAATGTCGTCTGGTCGCTACACGGGGTGAATGTCGTCTGGTCGCTACACGGTGTGAATCGTCTGGTCGCTACACGGGGTGAATGTCGTCTGGTCGCTACACGGGGTGAATGTCGTCTGGTCGCTACACGGGGTGAATGTCGTCTGGTCGCTACACGGGGTGAATGTCGTCTGGTCGCTACACGGGGTGAATGTCGTCTGGTCGCTACACGGGGTGAATGTCGTCTGGTCGCTACACGGGGTGAATGTCGTCTGGTCGCTACACGGGGTGAATGTCGTCTGGTCGCTACACGGGGTGAATGTCGTCTGGTCGCTGCACGGGGTGAGTGTCGTCTGGTCGCTACACGGGGTGAGTGTCGTCTGGTCGCTACACGGGGTGAGTGTCGTCTGGTCGCTACACGGGGTGAGTGTCGTCTGGTCGCTACACGGGGTGAATGTCGTCTGGTCGCTACACGGGGTGAGTGTCGTCTGGTCGCTACACGGGGTGAGTGTCGTCTGGTCGCTACACGGGGTGAGTGTCGTCTGGTCGCTACACGGGGTGAGTGTCGTCTGGTCGCTACACGGGGTGAGTGTCGTCTGGTCGCTACACGGGGTGAATGTCGTCTGGTCGCTACACGGGGTGAATGTCGTCTGGTCGCTACACGGGGTGAGTGTCGTCTGGTCGCTACACGGGGTGAATGTCGTCTGGTCGCTACACGGGGTGAGTGTCGTCTGGTCGCTACACGGGGTGAATGCAGTTCCTTCTATCAATTTGCCGCTCCGGATCAAATGTAATTGTTCTTCTTAACAAGAATCATGCTAACCCAACCAACCCACCTACCCCTATCGCGGCCGCTGCAAGGACAACGTGAATATTAGGATGCTTTAATGTTCATTAACATGATATATTTTGAACGGATTGGTTGATTTCGTAAGGCATAAGACGTATTGGGGGAGAGGAATGGTTGGTAAATGAACCTTTTACCCAAGACGAGCCACTATTTCCTCCTCACTTCTTTCCCCCCCCCC